AAAAACTATGACATGTTTATATTATTGCAAAATATGCTGCAAATATGAAGTCAGGACATATGCAATCATACTGCCATCAATAAGACAAGAGTACTGCTAACAGAGCTATTGGAGCTGGCATGCCCATTGGATTCGATACACACCTACACGAACAACAGGTTTCATGCAAAATATGAAGTGTTTTGGTATTAAACATGGATGGTTAGGTTTATACCACCAAATTTATTCCTGTTAAGCCCGGATCCTGCAAACACTTATGCACAGGTTTAACTTCAAACACAAGAGTAGGCCCATTGGCTCCTATGAAAATACTCGTGTTTAAACTTAAGCCCACGAATAAGTGTTTGCAGAATTGGGGCCACAAAAAGCATGCATTACAACATTATTCTTTATTGCACTATAGACACCATGACCCAACAGTTACATAATTAAATAATGACAGTTGAAAGGATTTAATTTTCATCTTTAAAAGGCAATAGACTTTCTGAACAAGTAACTATAGGTCTACTATAAGGCAATTAAGAAGCATGCAAGTCAGTAATGTGATATTAACCAATTGTTAATCCAAATAAAAGTCAATACAGTTTTTAAATATGGAAGACCAACCATTGACCGATATTTCATGTCCTCTGTTGTTTTCTACAGCTCCAACAGAGAACATTTTGTTTTTAAATGACTGCAGTTTTCTTTTTAGTTACAACTGTTTGTTTATTAAATACTAACTATATCTTACTGATTCTTGAAATCAATTTAGATTAATCCAATAACTAATAAACACTCTCTCTTTATATGTTTCACTTTTAGTTTTAAAGTGATACTCTCAACTGAAAAAAACGCATTGGTCTGAAAATGTTTTACCTCCTATTAATTATTAATTATTATTATTATTATTATAAGTGCAAGACTAAAATAAGAATCTATTTTGTTCCATTTTCTTGCTACGTGCATTTGATTATACATAAAATTTTGTCAATTTCACTCTTTCCTCTGTACTGTCGATTTCAACTACATGAAGATCTATTTTAAAAAGTACAAAAATGAGATTATAAAACATATGAGTGAGCAGGGAGACTTCGGGGCTTGAAACTACTTTAACTTATCTTTTGAAGTAGATTAAATTTCAATGGGATGGTGGTGCTCCTTTACATCAGAAGCTAACAAACTTGCTTGTTGTCAGCAAATAAGTACATAGGTATATGCACAGATATATTTTGTTGTGGTGGTTTGACACACACTATATGCACCATAGCCCTGATTCTTAAGACTGTTCTGTGCAGGTGGACCCTTATGCCAATACCTTGAAGTTAACAAGGCTCCTAGGAGAGCAGACCCTTGGCGCCAGTGTAGCTTGCAGTACCATGGCCTATATTTTTTGTAATCAACAACAAGAACAAAAACATGGTGCCTACTTCTCTTGCAGAACTGGATCCATGGTTTATATAGCTTTGCTTAAAGTGAACTATTTTTTTTTAAAAAAAGTGCTAGAATAGAATCAATTCATATCACAAGAATTCATATCATCACAAGAAGCAAAAATATTTAAAACCCAATACACCTCTATCTCGATATAACGCTACCTGATATAACACGAATTCTGATATAACGCGGTAAAGCAGTGCTCTGGGGGGGCGGAGCTGCGCACTCCGGCGGATCAAAGCAAGTTCGACATAACGCGGTTTCACTTAACACGGTAAGATTTTTTGGCTCCCGAGGACAGCGTTATATTGAGGTAGAGGTGTATTTGAAAATTGTTTCTTCCTTTACTTACTTGCCCTGAGTTCTGGGTTCTCTACCTTGCCTGAGTTGATGATGTCACTAAATCCTAATACAGGATGAAGATGCAGCTAGATTAGGAAAACAGTACAGAATATTTTAGTTTAAAATAAACTTTAATTGTTACATTTATCCATGTATTTTAGTGATTTAGTAAAGCAAACAGTTATTTTTTTTTTAAATATATCATTTCAGTTCACTTTAGACTAACAAAGTGGTTCTTTTTACACTTTCCTTCACCAAAATACTGTATCATCTTATGTAGCACCAAGCACAAAGGAAGATAAGATTCCTGCTCCAAGAAGCTTAATTACAGAAGAAACGCTAACAGTGCTCTATTAAGTCATGCTAACGTTCTAAAATGCGTATTTAGCTTATGTACCTTGTTTCCATTTTGAGGAAATTTGTTTTAATAAAGTCACAGCAGCATATGGCACTAGCATCTTTATTTTCAAAGTGGATATGGAGTTGGACACTATTTCAAGCCATCTGATGTTTCTTCCTAAGCCTCCTTGATCTGCTATCTGATTGTATACTTAGGATAAAAATCAGCAAACCAAAAGAATTGGGAAGGGGAATAAATATCAGCCATTCAAATTGTTTATTTAATGAAATGAAGAGTCTAGCTCAGAACAGCTTCTCTTTTTAAGAAAAGGTCAAATGCACTTACGATTTTGAATTTATTTTCAGAGACTATCATCAAACATACGCCAGAACTAATCTGTAACAAATATTTTAATTTTGTATGAAGACCAAAGATAAACCCACAATATAATATAATTAAAAAAGGAATTAAATTAAGCTCAGAAGTGCTTAATAGTGGATTTCTACAGATGTAAACAATCAACTAGTATGCATTAGCAACATGGTAAGTGACAGTCATATTTGCCACTGCCACATCTAAAATAATTGGTTATTCACTTAGCTGACTGAATACTAGGGGTTTTTTTTTTTTTTTTTTTTTTTCAAAATAAAGAATAATTTCTAAAGTATTCCTTGGAAAAGTTCAGTTGTTTAGCAGAAGACCACCCTATCTTTTACATTATTTTTCTGATAGAAAAAAACTAGAGTTCAAAAAAGGAAAAAGCATTTGTTATTTAAAAAGTAGACATCTACATTTAAGTTCTGAAATAGCTGTCTGTTCTACATGCTTCAGGGAAAGTTTACATATATGCTTATGGTTTTCTTTGGCAAGGTTGTAAAACATACCACCTTAATCCAGTTCCTGTAACAGAGGCTTGTTTACAGCTGTTCTTTCTTCCTCCAACACACTCAGTAATTCAACTCCTTTTCAGACCTTAGTACTCTTTCATAAAATTATATCAGAGTAAAATAGATGATATTTCAATATCTCACAGAATAAATGCATCTGTAGTCAATCCTCTGTACATAAGCTAAAGCACAAACACATCAGTTTTGGCGCATATGCAATTTAGGATTAAGTACAGTCTTTAGAACATAATGACAGTTCAGGTTTGGGAAGAGAATTGTTGTAGTTCTTGGAAGACACCTAGTGTGCAGTTCCATCCAGAAAATACCCATTTTTTCTCCTTAAGTGTGTTTAGTATCACAAGCACCAGGAGGAAATGGCCACAGCCAGCGACAGAGGGCAAAGTAACCCCACGTCTCTCATTACATTTTTGCAACGATGACATTGCCTTTGCTTTTCTCTATCCTCAGAACATGTGGGTTTTGTTGTTTTTGTTTTTTCCCCAAAGGTAATAATAACTTATTTATATTCAAATAAAAATGTGAATATATACATAAATATATATATTGACAAAGTCAAACTGGTGGTCAACAGACATATTTAGGCAGCCTCTGCTTGCAATGCAGGATTTATCCAAATCTTCTGTCTGAAAGGTATGAAACGTATGGGGGATTCACAATCTCCCACTGACAGTGATGGGAAATGCAGTGTGTCAGAATTTGAAGGAGCATAGATGGAAATCACCACCAACATATCCTCAAGAAACAGTAAATCTGCCTCAAAATACGTGTTAACTACTTATGCTAAACAATCTGTTCCATTTTGTATTAGCTTTGACACGCTGAGTACATTTCCCACGAACAGCTCTGTGTAAGCTTGAAGCTTGTCTCTCACCAACATAAGTTGGTGCAATAAATGATATTTTCTCACCCTTCTTGTCTCCCAGTAAGAGGCAGACTCACCCACCCCACAAATCTCTAACATGGAGAAGGGGCTGAGAGAGAACTATGGGGAGAAGGAGGAAAAATCAGTATCTCTCCCCACCCAGTCTTTGATCAGGTTGAGAACCAGTGGAGACTGCTGATACTTTTATTTACACAAATATAGAACAAAACTTTGAACTAATCCAGAACTTCTGAGGTATGCATATTATTAGCCTATATAAATACATGTCCTCATTACTTTTATCCTGGTCTTCCCTCCCCCTTCTTGCTCTTATTGCTTGCCATACTTACTGCATGTGTTTTAGGCCCCGATCCAACCTCGTTTGCATAGGCTGACCCCTGTACCCCAAGCAAAGCCTCAGTGACCTCAACGGGACACTATATGGGGGCAGGAGTCCACCCAAGCAGATCAGCTTTCAGGATTGGGACCTAAAAGCAGTAAACTCCTTTGAGGCAGGTACTGTGTCATTTTATGTGTTTGCACAGTGCCCTGCACAATGGGGCCCTAAACCTGACTAGAACCTTAGGGCACTAATGCAACAACATACATAAAGAATCATATGGTCTTCCAGAGAGAGGGACAGCACAATGGGGGATGGAGGAGGAGATATCATTATCAACACCCTCCCTACCCCCATCTACCACTTAGTGGGGACTGGGAAAATCGTGCCCAGGAAGAGGAGTGAGTAATCATCATCACCAACCCTCCCACACATCCTCCCCCAAAACACACCCTGTCCCCGTGAGAGAGGAGAGGATCCTCCCTCACAAACACAAGAAACAGAACTGGGGAAAGGGGAGAGATTATTTCCATGCCTTCAGATTTCAAGCACAATCACTATCTGTGGTCCTGAGCTGAGGTTTTTACTACCCTGGTCTGATATTAGGCTAAAGAAGCAGCCAGTTGACACAAGCCCACGGGGGGTGGAGATGTCACCACCAGCTCGGATACACTACAGCGCCCAGGAGGCACCAGCCAGCCCGCAGCCACACTGGGGAAGCGGGGCGCCCAGCGCTCCACTGGCAGCCCAGCGGCGAGGCACTAGGAGCGCGCAGCCTAGCAACTGACTTACCCCGACCGGCTTGCGCCGCCGCCGCCTCTCCGGCCCCGACTCAGCACGGCGCCCGGGTCCTGCTCATCCCGCGGCCGGGGGCCGGCTCTCTGCCCCCGCCCGCGGGGCTCCGCCTCCCGCTGTCACGGGCGAGCTCCTGGCAAGAGACAAGCGCCCAACTCCGGGCAAGGACTTCGCCGCACGCCTCCCCTGGGCGGGCCGGCTCCTCCCCCGGGCGGTGCCGCGACCCGAGTGACAGCGCGGCTCAGCCACTCAGCCGCCAGGCCGCGGCCGGAGGAAGCTCCGCAGCCTATGGGAGCGGGGCCGGGGCGGGACCCGGCTGAGGAGGCGACAGCGGCCCGGCGCTGGGGTGTCCCCGCCAGTCGCCTGATTCCAGCAGCACACGCGGCCCGCGGGGCGGACTGGGGCAGCAGCGAGGCGAGGGTAACGGGGCGGCAGGGCAGGTGGGTGTGGAGGGAGCGAGGGGAGGAGTGATGGGAAGGGGATTTGAGGCGGGTCTAGCAGTAACTGGGTTTAGGGAATGGGAGATATTAGGCATGAGATGAAATGAGCGAGGGAAGAGATCGGAGGAGACCAGGACGAAGCAGTAGGAGGATGAGCGCTGGATACATAAAAAGGGGGGATTTTTCCCTTTGCAGGCGCCCCATCCTACGTTACCAACAGGGAATTGTGACTAGCTAGAGGCCGCACTGGAAACAAAAATTAGCTTTCTTCAGTTCACAGGTCGCTCCCGTGTGCTGGGTTACATGCAAGGCGAAGCCACAGTTGCAACCGCTAGGGGGGATGAGGGTAAATAACCCTTCCCCTTTGCACCCCGGTTACTGTCATGTTCATGTCCCCCTCAATGCAGTTTCAGACCGTGTGTATTTTCACTGCTGGGCCCCCTTTGCCTCCAGCTTCCCTTCCCCAGTCACTGGCACCTGAGTCATTGCAACCCCACTCACCAGCCTGCTGCCGCTGCCCGCCCTGGGCTGGGCACCAGGGTGATCAGTGGGTAACCTCTGTAGCATCACTATTATGCCAAGACTCGGGGGTGGGGCGAGGGAAAGACGCCCTTGGGATGGAGATTTAGGGTGAATTGTTGGGGTTTCTCTCTGTAGCAGGGGAAAGGGGGCGTCATGTACCCAGCAAACCCCTCTGGGCCCGTGTTCAGAGAGGAAGAGCCTGAGCACACAGCAACCTCCCGCCCGCCCGTCTCCAGAGGGGAACTAACACACCGAGGGGGAGGGAAGAGCCTATGGGCAGCGGGTGCTGGCGGGGCCTCCTCCCCAACGAGGCGAATCGCGGTCGGTAAGGCCGGGGGGGGGGGACTAGCCGCCACCTCTAGCACATGGGGCAGCAGCAGGGGCCAGGCCCGGTGGAGGGTGGGCGGGACCCGAGCTCCCCCCGGACTCTGCCCGCTCCGGGCCCCCCTACAGCGCGGGGCGGCAGCAGGCACTCAGGGTACGCGGCGCTCACTTCCTCCCCAGCTCCGGCTCGCCCCGCCCTTCACGGGGTCCTCGCACCCGCTGCTCCGCCCCTTCGCTCCTCCCTGTCCCCAGCCGCGAGCAGTGGATGGGCCCGGCCTACGTCTGTACCTGAGCCGCCGCTGCGGTGTTTCTGGCCTAGCGGGGGCATCTACCTTCGCCCCGCCGCCATGGAAGAGGACATGGAGCTGGAGAGGTGAGAGGGGGCCTCCGGGGTGCGTGTTCCCGGGCAGTGGGGCGGGGTGGGCCCGCTGTGATCTACCGCGCCTGCCCGGCGCACTTGTTCCCGTCCCTTCAGCCCCGGGGGATGGGGCGGGGGAGTGGGGGGGAAACTGCAGGGATGAAGAGTTGGGGGGAGGGGTTACCTAGGTAGTTCCCTCTTGAGTTTTAAAAGTTCCCTTCTAGACCCGCCCCTTGACATTCTCTTGGTGGGAAGGGGTCATGTGTGGGGCTCGTGGTCACTCCTGTGCCAGGCCTTTGGGGGAGGCAACCACACGAAGGGCTGGTGCTGGACCCAGTAAAATACACATTAGTCATGTCACCTTCCTCCTCAGTGTGGAAGTGCCTGGGTAATCCTTCTGCTGTCAGGTAACAGGAGCTGATTTAGAGCCCACCTACTCGCTCTCGTGTGGGGCTTGATGTAAATAACCTGCCTCAACAGGTAACTTTTGTAGTGCAGAGGGACCATTAGAGAGCCTTTAAGACAGAAGCTGGAGCACTTTTGTTTACTGTCTTGTTCATTGGTGCTGATTACAGTGTTTACATTTAAATTATTGTATGTCATATAATAAAAGTTTAATCTCTTTTTTTTTAAGGGGGTTGCTTTAATGTGGATGCTTACAGTTTTACTTACCTAAACATCAAGCCTACATGGCTTGGAATATTTGGGAGGACAGGAGTCCCAGTTTACAGAACACAAACTTACATGCAGGAGACCTTTGACTTTAGTTTGAGAATTAGAATTGTTTTCCTATTCCTACAGCATCAAATATATTTTACTTTTACTTGTCTTAGACTATATAAGTGGTTTCCACATCGATGTTGAAGCATATACAGTATACTACCGAAAAACAGTTAAGATGTACTTTGCAGTACATGGAATGAGGTACGATAGTATTCCAGGATTTCTGAGGCTGCTGTTCTCTATGGGAGCCCTTTATCTCCCTATTGCAATATCATTCCTCTGTCCCTGTTGTGAGGCAGTAATCTAATTCCAAGTGGATGCATTCAGGAGAGTAGTTTATCACAGAGGGAACTTAGGTTATTCATGAGAAAAAATGGGGGCATTGAAGATACTGCTGACTTTCTGTTGAATTCTGAAATCCTCTATTGGTTTGGCTCAAGTTGCCTCATTGTCTTACTCTGTATCCTATGGCCTGGTTATGATCTACTGGAACAATATAACTACCAATCTTAGAAGTGAGAGTAGTGTGCTCAGAAGACTTTTTGGGCACCTGGCCCACAATTGTGAAATTTGCTTCTAGAAAGACTATGAGCCTCAGTGTCTTCATAATAAAATGTAAACTCAACTTTTTCAAACTCCTTACTTTGTTAAGGAAAGGCATAGTTGTATGTAATAAATAAATGAAACCTCCCTATTAAATTAAGAAAGATGGGAGATTTTCCATGATCACTTTAATAAACTTGTGTTGCATGCCAGTACCAGCTATGATTGCAACTAGATCACAGTGCAAGTTGGAAAATTAATAAGCCTTGTTTTGTTAATTGAAATGAGAAAAGCCTAATTTCTGACTTTGTATTTATTATAGTCAGATTGTGGCTACATTGACTGGAATTCTGTTGGGATGAGATCATTCATTCTACTATACAAATTGACTCATGTCATATCCAAACGAACACATTCCGTTTAAATGCAGGTTCATTTAGTTGACTATTCAGTCATAACAGACCTCTTTTTTACTTTCTGCTTTGGAAATGGACCAGAAGCACTTACATTATTGGTAAATCTTGATGGTGTTATGCTATTTATTGTAGAATTGTCTGGGAGGAATGACTGAAATAATAGTTCTGCAGCATGACTTGTCAACACTACAACTAAACCATGTATAACAGAATCTCATGTGAGATTACCTGTTAGCAGTATGTCTAACAATGATAGCATGCTCTTCCAGTGTGTCTCACACCCAAATATAAGGAACTAACCTTGTGGTTCCATTTACAAAAAATAACTTGTTGCCCCCACTGTCCTCCTCCAACTGATATTGTAGATGAGACAAAGATAATAGTTGTGCTGGTGGAAGTGAGGGGATAATTGGGCCTAAGAGAATTTAATGATCCATTTACCTCCTATAATTTTTCCATAAGACACCTCTCCCCTATGATCTTAAAAAACAACTACATCGGCACTGGTCTGAAATACCAAACTAAATAAGAATATGTCATGGTGAGGGGTGGTATGAAGTTTTTATCGGCAAAAGTTTGTGATGGCCGCATTACTTGCTGTAGCAAATCTAAACTATACCATCATGACTTCTACATATGTCACACATGTTACAGAAAAGCTATTTTAGGGATGTTTTTAGAGAGTTTTAAAAATATTTATTTGAGCTATTTTTAGGTGCCTTAGCTACCATGAGTCCAAGTGCTCAAGGAAACATACAGGTTTATAATGATGACTTAAAATAGTGTTTTCTCATTATACGTTTAAATTCTGTTATGGACATGGACACCTTCTAGGTCTAGAGCAACTGCTGAGTCCCACTGGGAAGCTAGAAGTTTTCCAGACAAAGGAAAAAGAATTTAATTATTTGTCCCCATGCAGCTAAGACTACAGTCTGGTGGTCTGACAAGAGAACTTGGTTGTCCAAAATTTCTGGCAGTGACTTCATTCTCTCAGACAAATTAAATTGAAAGATAGTTTCTGCTTTGATGGTCTAAAGCAGTAATACTCAGACTGAGGCTTGCGAGCTGCAAGTGGCTATTTAGTGCATTTCCTTCCGCTCTTTGCAGCTCATGATATTAAAACAATCAGGATGCTTTTACTTATGTTATTAACCAATTGTAGTTGATAAAATAATACTTGGTCAATCATTTTGCTGTGACTATATCTATCTTCCCCCATCATTTGTGTGTGTGTGTGTGTGTGTGTGTGTGTGTATATATATTCCTCCATCATACTATTAATATGAATACGTAGTACTATAATAAATGAAACAATGAATTCACATTACTGTGGCTCTTTTGGGTAATGTTGATTGCTAATTTGGCTCCTGAACCACTGAGTTGTGAGTATCACTGGTCTAAAGACAGTTCTCTAATTTCTGTTCATTCTGTTTTGGATTATTATGCCAGGTTTTCTCACTTCTATTCTCTTTTTTTACTGTCACTAACTCATTTGGTCTTATGTTCTGTATTTTTCTTGCTTAAAATGTTACCATCACCAGGAATGATGGATGCTGAATTGGCTACCTCTTGTCATTTGACCTTTACATAGTCTGAGATTTAAAGCAATAAAAAAGCAGCGACTACAAATACCCGCAGGTTGTAAATAAACCCAGTTTCCCATTCACCTTTGCCACCATCTATGGCAAGTATCGGATATGCATCCTTCCGCCGCTCCTTTCTGCTGGAAATTAGAGGCTGGCAGTTTCACCTGAACATCCTACTATTAATTATATTGGAGAATATCCAGATTATAAATCTGAAACTTTTCATAGCCTTAAATACTAGGCCAAATTCCAATGAAATGTAATTGATGCTGTGAGTATAACTTACACTCCAAGGGATAGGTATACAGGGTTATAAAACAACTAACAGAAGAGTGTCAAAGTATCTGACAGGGCTGGATTATTTTTCACCTCCCCTGTTCTTACTTTTTCTTCCCTGTTCTACACCTTTGGCATGTTAGTTATTCACAACACCATTTATGTCCCTGCCCTGAAGATTTTGCGTTCTAAACAATAAAATATCCTACAGTTAAGATATCCTGCCTTTGGCCCTAGAACAACACAGCAAATATGAGGTCTTCTGGGAATATATTAGAGGTTGTTGGAGAGAGAGTGTTGGATATATTTTTCCTCACTCATAATCTCTTCCACAGTTAAAGCTGCCTCCTAGTTACCAGAAACATTTCACAACTCCTGAATAGCATCTCCTACTAGAACTGCCTTCCAAACCTAGTTTGCAGTGTCATCTATTTGAAATTGTTGTCCTAAGGGATAAGGCCTTTAGCATCTGGAATAAACTCCTTTATATTATTGTAAAACAATGGGATATAACACAAAGAACAGTCTTACTTTTTGAAGTGCACAAGTTGCACTTAAAATCTAAATCCTTAAGATATAAAATTGCATGTTAGAAAGGAAGCACAATTTAATAGCTCAAAGTAATAGTTAGACTATAGATCTAGCAATCATGAGATTGGTTGACATAACTTGACATTGGTTATGTAACGTAAAGGTGATCTGCCAAATAAAAACTGAGGATGAATTTCTTTATGGAATCTTCACTAATCAGGCTGTGGGGGTCATTCACACAGAAAAAAGCTTAAACTAATGCTTTTTTAAAGAAGTGATCTATTGTCAGCCTTAAACTGTTTAAAGACAGTGGAATTCTAAATCAGGTGAGTTAACTCCAAACTCTCCTAAGGCATGCTTTCCATTTGATTCTTATATGCCTATGTGGCATATTTGGTGTTTGTTTTAATCCTGTTTCTTTGCTGTTCAGTGTGGCATTCCTCAGGCTCCATTTTTTGAAATCCCTTTTCATCAGTTTCTGTATATATCCATTTAATTATTTCATGTTGCATCCAGGGTGTCCATTGTTAATAATGTCCCTTATGTATGTACCTCTTCTTGCTGACTCTAGGACTGGCATCTTTGTCCTGTGCCAAAGCTTGGACAAGTTGTAAAAATAGATGTCAGGATCCTCAGATGTGTTCAAAAAACAACTAGCTTCTTCATTTCTAATTAAATTCATGCATAATAGAATGGCACTTATGGTATCAGTAGCACTATCATCTTGAGCTCTGCTCTTCAGAGCAAAACAGGGTAGAATCTAGTCAGTTCTTGAATGTATTTAATGCTGCAGGAAGTGGTCTTGAATATTCAGTGACATGATTCTCTCTGTCATTACTGAATCAATGCTCCATCTGGTTCTAGGGGACATAGTATCTGAGCACCAGAGCATAGCCTTTATTTTATTTACAGTGAATTTTGTGATGTTGCATTACACCGC